GTTGAGTGGGATTAGGTCTAATCAAACTAAACACTGCGGGGAGTATGCTAAAATAGTGACCTTACACTCATATACAATTTGTTTTTTGTCTTTTTGAAATATCGCTTGATTCGTTTGTGAAGTATAGACAGATGTATATGACTAGTACACTATTTAGTCTTTACGATTTGCTGTTCCAAAATTCATCATCCTTCTACTAGATCACGAGGTTATATTGCCGAATTAATAAAATGTTGACAAATAGTCTAGAGAGATTTATTGTATTTACCAAGAGCAGCTCTTTTGGCATTTACAGTAAATTAAGCTTTTCAAACTTCATCGTTTTAAAATTTTAACGGTGTAATTGTGAGCTCAGTTTTTGTGATTAGATACTTATTGGATAGATAGATAGATAGATAGATAAATTTTAGCGGTGTAATTGTGAGCTCAGTTTTCGTGATTAGATACTTATTGGATAGATAGATATATAGATAGATAGATAGATAGATAGTAATAAATATTTGTAGTTTTGATAATGGAACATTTTTTAAACTTGAATTTTTTGATGAAAGTATATAATCTGCGTTTATATCTATTTGTTTATTTCTATTTTTATTATGGCTTGCTCTTAATGGAACTGGAAACCACGTTAATTTGGTTTCAGGTGCCATGTTACACTTTTCAGTGTGTAAATAAAGCGGTTTATTTTTCGTCATTTTTGTTGAAAATCGTTATTTTTGTACAAAAATGGAAATTATTTACTACTAAACGGGTCGCGTGCCACCCAATTTTTTTTCTTGATATTAATACTATAGATCATTGCCTTTTCAGTCAGCATTCCAAAAAAATACTTAAACCCGCAGTGGGTGTTATATAGATAGAATAAAATGCCATACTTAAATTGAGCTATTTTGGTACCTTGCAGCAATAAGTCCCTATACCAAAAACCGCGCCATGAATATCCATCAAACTTTCAGAATGTATACTCACTAACCATATCTACTACGCTATAAAGTTTCATTAATCTACTCGCCGTAGTTTGGTTGTACGAAATAATTGAAAAGTGGCCTGAAAATGATGATTTTTTTGGCTTTTTTCGGTCTTAAAATTTCAAAATTTTTTCTACGCTCTACAAATTGTTCGATTGATCTAAAATTGTGGCAGTGGGGTTTGGAGGGGTTACCCATCATACTTAAAAAAAATGGTGAAAATCGGTCACCCACCATGTGCCGGTCCCTGCATGGTTCTCTCGCAAACGCATTCTTAATCCATAAAATAAAAGACATAAACAAAAAACGGATATACTACAATATCAACAATAGAAAGATAAATTAATCACCTGTTCTTGTTCGATCAGTTGAATGTTTCTGCTGTCTGCTGGTCATAAAAATGCATCTTTGATTAGGTTGGTGGAATTTTAGAATTAAACGACGAATTATTCTTGTAGACATTTTTGTGATGCGGATGCCAATAAAACACAGGACTTGCAAACAAAAGGTCCAATATTGGTTGTTTCGTTTTGGTAATGATAACAGGAAAAATACCACTTGTAGCAATGTAAGACAAAATATATACCGAGCACAACGATAGTCGTATACCAATAGAGTTTGCTTGACTTCGAGTTGTTTTGTATAGCTGTTGCCTGTCGGTATATGTATTCAACTAATACGTCACTCTATTCCCTGGTCGTTCATGGATGACTATGCACACAGTATTAAACGCAATACGCTATTCGTTATTAAAAAATCTTTAAAGGAATGTAAACTTTTAAATAGTTCAAGTTCTATATTACATGTATATCTTAATTATATCTATGAGGTTAAGTGCAGCTATGGGGGAGAGGGGGGTGGGGCAAATGGTTAGCGTGGTTAACTGGCGTGGTTTCAATTCCTCGGGGGATCACGGTGGCTAAGTGAGTGGGTAAGACGCTGGCTCGTTAGCCTGGAGGTCGGGTGTTCGATCCCTGCATTACCCGAGAAAGTTCATCCAGATTTTCCAGCGTCGTTCCCCCTTGTCAGTGATACAGGACGGGGGGCCTGACAAGGACAGCTGTCTAGTCGATCGGCTGGGACGAAAAACCGAGGTCCTTGACAGTTGGACCGTAGTGCCGCTGCCCGGGCAAAATGTCCCTTATAGCACACTGTAATGGCGTAAGTCCGTCTTCGTTAACCCAGTAGAAGCAGAACAGTAGGACGTTAAACCCCATTTCATTTCATTTCGAATAGCCGGTTATAGGTCACAAGGAGTAGGGGTGGCTGTCTAACCTCGTGGGTTTTCTCTGGGTCCTTCGATTTCCTTCGTCTGCTAAAGACCCCTACGCACAAACAAATTATTGAAATAAAATTGAACCTTATGTTGGTCCCGAAATGACCTAATTTGTGTCGAGTGGACGTCAAACCCCATCTCTCTCTCTCTCTCTCTCTCTCTCTTCTGTAGACGTTGACCGTAACCACAGTATTTAGGGTGATAAACAAGGTCACGGAGAGTCTGGTAGGTTCAGTGAGTTAGAGTCTGTGTTAAGGTGGCTAAATCTGTTTGTCAAGGTCGCCGAGATATAAATACGGTTAGGGCACGGGATTGTTCACGAGATTGTAGGTTAGGTTTAAGCACTGACCTAGGATGATGAAAAATTAGTTCGTGATATTTCCTAGGGTTGCATTGGAGCTAGGTACAAGGTTAGGGTTAAAGGTTATCATTTGGCCTTATCATTTAGCACTAACTTTGAAGGTTCGGTAATTAAATACAGTATTTACTCGGTAAGATTCATTTGTGAACGGTGTGATTATGAATGCCCTATTCCAACACGAGAAGCTTACAGACTTACAGATTTTAACATTGTGGGTCTGGCTTATCCCTTTCAGATTGTCAAACCTTAACATTATGGGCCCACAATAAAATCTCTTGCTATCTTTTATGTATTTTTGCGCTATGTTAAATATGTTAAAATTGGTATCATCTGAGAGGTCGGGTTTGCCTGATAACATTAGGTTAATTGTTACACTTTGTTTGAGGTGGTGTAAATTATTTTGGAGAATTGTTCTTTGGACAGAGTAGGCTGGACATATGAACAAATAATGGTAATTATCTTCGTGTATAGAATTACATCCAGGGCACACCTTTGTTTCGCAAATAAATTGGAAATAATTTCTACTTGCCGACTGTATTTGGAATTTGTATCATTTCTTTTCACTGGATAACTAAATCTACACAATGAAAGATAGAGTTGACTCGATTGCCAAGGTCCGTGGTTAACCAGATAAGGATAATGTTGCCTGGTTGAGCGAGACTTTTTAAACCAGCACAAAATGATATGTTTACCAATTCCTCTTTAACAAGGAAGGACTGCGTGTATAGATGCCATGTTTTTCAAGGCTTTATTTTAGTTTAAACATATGACTTTTACATTTTATGTAAGTTTTACATTTATGTAAGCGTAATTTGTTCATGGCCGGCATATCCATACAATTAAAAAGTGATTTGATACTCGATTTGGAATTTTAAGAATACGAAAATAAATAATTTTAGAAAATATTGCGTAAAATATTTTCAAGATGGCTATGATTAAATAATATCACCCATTATATATAAAGCAATAAGTATAATGTGGGGTCACAGTGGCTAATAGGGTAAGACGCTGGTTCGCTATAGCCTGGAGGTCGGGTGTTCGATCCCTGCATAGGCCGAGGAAGTTCATCCAGATTTTCCGGCGTGGTTCCCCCTTGTCAGTGATGCAGGGCGGGGGGCCTGACAAGGACAGTCGTTCGGATGGGACGAAAAACCGAGGTCCCGTGTACACATTGGCGTGCACGTAAAATATCTCTTAACAGTTGGAATTCGATATAAGAGTAGGCCGTAGTGCCGCTGTCCGTGCAAAAAGTCCCTCATAGCAGACTGTATGGCGTATGTCCGTCTTCATTAGCCCAGATCGGAGCAGAACAGTAGGACGTTAAACCCCATTTCATTTCATTTTATTTATAAGTATTATGTATGTAACATGTGCTACAGGTACATAATATACGCCTCGTGGGGGTTTTCTCCGGGTTCTCCTGTTTCCTCCCACTGCTAAAGACCCCTACGTGCAAGCGAATTATTGAAATAAAATTGAACCATATGTTTCTGTTGATTGGACGTTAAACCCCATCTCTCCCCCTCTCTCTCTCTCTCTCTCTCTCTCTCTCCTCACACACATAATATACGTTCACGTACAAACGATTAAAACGACAACAACTGCACAATTCTAACGATAGTTCGAGAACTGAATGCTGAATGACCTAAATACAGACAGCCACGTTTATCCATTTATGCATAGAAATATCATATTTCTATGATGCATAGAAATATCATATTTCTATGATGCATACGTTGTACATACATAATAGCAGTGTGTTATTAACGGCCAGATGCACACATAGAAAATTAATGTTACGTTAAAAGCAGTTTTTGGTTATTGATAGTGCAGTACGTTATTTAATACCTGGTTATAGGGTAAAAACAAACTAACAATGAGTCATCCAATTGAGGAGTAATGAAGGAATGTAATAATTAACTTGGTTGCATCACCCGAAATCTAATTCATTATTCTACTGGTAGTGTATAGTTCCGCAAACTGTATTATTGCGGGAATCCATGGATATGTGGGGGGTGGCTGAATTGTTAGCACGTGCACGCTGTATCATGAAGCCTGTCATTGAGTCAACTGTCGTGGTTTCGATTCCCCAGTTCTACATGACACAAGGAGTAGGGTCGCCTGTCCAACCTTTTGGGTTTTCTCCGGGTCCTTCAACTGCTAAAGACCTCTACGCGCACGCGACTTATTGAAATAAATTTTAACCATATCTTATTCCCGAAATGACCTAGTTTATGTCGAGTGGACGTCAAACCCCATCTCTCTCTCTCTCCATGGATATGTTAATATGTCTGGTAGGTATTAACGACAGTGTGATGTCAAGTCCTCCATATAAAATAATTAAAATATCGTCACCAAGTTTCATCATCAAGTTTTTTCTAGTAAAACAATAGTCTTCATTATATTCATATTTTATTCAAATTGTACAAAATATATTTGCCAAATAATACATATCTTCAACAAATAATCAATTCTTTCTATAGACATGACAATAAAAATAGAAGTAAATCACGGCAAATATAATAATCAGTTGTTTATAGACATGACAATAAAAATAGACATAATACATAGACGTAAATCACAACTGATCTTAACAAGAAGTCTAAATATACAATATAATGGACGAATCATTTTCACAACATACATGTGACGTAGTGTTTTATATGACGTGGCGTATAATCTGATGTGGTTTATGTATTGTTTAATGGTCGAGAGCGAGACATTAAGTAATATATTGTAACAACATGAGGGCCGTGAGTCCCGAATGTTTTTACAATATATTACGCAATGTCTTAAGCTCGAGACCATTAAACAACTTAAAATACAGACACTTGCACGTGCTTTGCAATGAAATACGTCACTCGAGTTCAATATTTTACCAAGTTACGCTTGGCACATTGCCCGTACGATTATTTGAAATAATGGTACTCCAACATCAAAGGATGACGTCGCATCTGTATTTTGATTATACTTATTGGGCTGACAAGGAAAGCTGTCTAGTCGTTCGGATGGGACGAAAAACCGAGGTCCCGTGTACACATTGGCGTGCACGTAAAAGATCCCTTGGCAGTTGGAATTCGATATATGAGTAGGCTGTAGTGCCGCTGTCCGGGCAAAATTTCCCTCATAGCACACTGTATGGCGTATGCCCGTCTTCATTAGCCCAGGTTAGGAGCAGAACAGTAGGACGTTAAACTCCATTTCATTTCATTTCATTTGTTCAGATATTAGTCTTTATAAAAGATGATTTATAAATAAATATTATATATTATATATGTAATCTGATAATAAACAGCGATATATACACCGTTTAATGTAAACGATGATTAAATTAAGAATGCATTATGTTACAGCTAAATCTGTCTATTGCAGGTCTTCTGTTTGGCTTCAAATATAATATAATATTATTTAGACATTTATTAAAATGGCAGGCCTATATAAATTATTATTGGGGGCGAATCTATTTGCAGCGGGGGGTCCCCTAGGTACGGGCCTGCAAAGAGGTATAAACAGGGAATGAATCTGGGGACAGGCCGTAAGCATCCATTGCGTATTACCGTCCCTGGCCTGTAGTGGTTCGGGATTCACTAAATCTATAGAGAAATTGTCCAATTGTTATGATGATAGAACAATTATCCAGTGGTTAAGTCTTTAGACCAATTATCCAGTTGTCAAGTCTATAGACCATATCCTATTGCTATGTCGATAGACCAATTGTCCAGTCGGCATGTCTAACGATCAACTATCCATTTATGTCAAAAGATCAACTATCCAGTTTTGCTATAGAACAATTATCCAGTTAATCCCTGTAGATCAATTATCCAGTAATTAATACATATCAAGTAAACCCATCCTTTTGATTGGTGAACCATCACCGACTGTATTCTGTAGATATATCAACATACTTCTAAATTCATCAATATTAATATAGGTCCCCTGTAATATAAACAATATGACCTTTATTTAATATAGGTCCCCTGTAATATAAACAATATACAACCTCTATCTAATATAGAAATGAAATGAAATGAAATGGGGTTTAACGTCCTACTCCTATACTGGGCTAATGAAGACGGGCATACGACATACAGTGTGCCATCAGGGAAATGTTGCCCGGGCAGCGGCACTATCGCCTACTCTTATATCGAATTCCAACTGCCAAGGGATCTTTTACGTGCATTCCAATGTATACACGGGACCTCGGTTTTTCGTCTCATTCGAAGGACTAGACAGCTGTCCTTGTCAGGCCCTCCGTTCTGCACAACTGACAAGGAGAAACCACGTCGAAAAATCCCGATGGACTTTCTCGGCCAATGCAGGGATCGAACACCCGACCTCCAGGCTAGCGAGCCAGCGTCTAACCCACCTAGCCACCGTGGCTCCCTATCTAATATAGGTTGCCGGTAATATAAACAATATACTACAATATAACTTCTATATAATATGATATAAACAATATACAATATACTACTAAATAACCGCTTTCCATTATAAACAATATAACCTCTATCTAATGTAAACAATGTACCCCCCCCCCCCCCCACCACCACCGGGTTTTAAAGTAGGAATGTTGTTATTGATTTATAAGCAACCACGACCAGCCTTTACCTGGGGTTAAAACATATTATATTATAGTTATCTACACGCTATGAAATCTATAATTCTTAATGGTACATTACGGGAGATTAGATAAAGAGCTGACAGTTCTCACTATAATAGTTAAAATCTAGATAATGTAAAGGGATTTTACTGAAAATTTCAGTTAAATTGATCCAATCTGAACCGAGATTTTAGCGATTGAATTCTCGGCCTAGCCCCGATCATCATTACTAAAGTAATTGTTATTACATAAATAGTGTTAGTGTGTTACTGTCAATTACTAAATGCCACTTAAAGATGTAAAGTCGGTATGATAAAAATCATAGCCTTGAAGTCGAACAGTAAATCGGATCCTAATCCAGTAAATATCACAGGCTAGAGATGACATCAAGAGTCGATTATGGTCTGGATAAGTTAATTAATTTCTAATTAATAATTTATATAACATTTCTGGCCTAAAGAAAGACACACACCCTCAAAAGCTCAAGTATGATAAGTGGCCAGAGAGGGATTTCTCGCGCCATTGCTTCAGGAATACAGTGTGTGTGGACATTACCTGGAGGTGACGTAATCCACCATTAGAAACGTATGCAGCTCTACCGTGCAGCGCTCGTCTGTTCTGGAAGGTTATCATGTCACCTGGCTGAAGTCGTGCTCTGTACTATAAAATAAATAAATAAATAAATAAATGAATAAAATAACTTTCTCCGTCAACACAGTACAAATATCATAAAAATAGAATTTAATTTGTATGATAAACAGTAAAATACTTCCATTTACCTTATAAGGCCATGCGTGTACAGCTTGAATCAACTTCTGATATGCTTTATAAAATGGTTCCACGTCATTCTGGAAGTCAAATATATGAAAAACCGTAAATGTTGCTAGTTTAAAAAAATTTAAAAAAAACATCCATGCAAGCAAGAATAGGAGCACAGAGATTGTTATTCACCAAGTTTCAGGGGACGGGAGTCTTTTCGATTTGTATTTCATATATTGTTACTCTTATGTAATTTTGCTGTAGTCTCTATTGTTAAATAGGTATTATGATATAGATATACAGTTTCTTAAAACAAGGAAGCCAAATTGTGAAGGTAATGTTTGAGTTCGAAAACACTGGTTGTTATGTCAAATAAAACAGTTGGGTGATGGCAATAGTAGTACTTCATGTGTATTCCATATATTGGTACTCTTCTCTTATCTCGATATAGCCTTTATTGTTATGAAATGAAATGAAATGGGGTTTAACGTCCTACTGTTCTGCTCCTAAATTGGGCTAATGAAGACGGGCATACGCCATACACTGTGCTATGAGGGAAATTTTGCCCGGGCAGCGGCACTACGGCCTACTCTTATATCGAAATCCAACTGCCAAATGATCTTTTACGTGCACGCCAATGTGTACACGGTACCTCGGTTTTTCGTCCCATCCGAACGACTAGACAGCAATTGTGATGGTAATGTGTGAGTCCACATTGTGGTCGTTATGTCAAATAAAACAGTAGGGATTTAGTGGGATAGCGATACTAGTATTTATTTAGTAATGCTAGGTTCTCCACTGTCGTGCGATGTGTTACGATAGGATTGCCCCTAAAGAGTCAAAGATCTGCTACGCGTAGATACGTTCGGATACGTTTCGATACATTTCGATACATTTCGATACGATCAACACGATTGCTAAGTCTGACCTCAATATATGATAAGACCTGATAGGATCACCACGATTACTCCACGATTTTAATCGTAGCACGAATAATGATAGTGCGAACCTAGCATTAGTAACCGTTAATAATTAGAAATACTATCAGTCACAAAAGCATAATGATGTAAGAAATATACATACCTCATCAGCTTGTAAAGGACCGGTGAGGTTTTCGTGGTAAGCAACAGCAACAACCTAATAAACAGAAGAATGTAGAATCCCAAAAGCATTGTTCAATACAATCATGAACATAAACAATATTGCATAATTTGGAAACACACTCAAATCTGGTTAAAACACAAACTCCAGTTCAAGAATAAAAATCGAATATTGACTCTCAAAGTCAAAAGATAAACGTGTGGTTGCCTCCTTGTTGTTAGAAAATGACATAAAATGAAATGGGGTTTAATGCCCTACTATGCTTTACCGTCTGGGTGTTACATTACTGGTTCTTTGAATCGGGTTCTTGGTGACAACACTGGTTTAACTTCATATGATATGTTTATTGTTCATCAAACATATCAAGTACAAAACTTGTTCTAGTTAAAGACTCCCAACTAACTTGTATGGGCGCTCTCCGGTCTTAACTAACTTTCTATCACTTCAGATATCAGCTTATGATCGACGAGATTATGCAGCTGGATATATACCAGATTAAGCGTTCAGTACAGATTGCTTAACAAGACAAATGACATTACATAACACGGGACAGCTATAAATTATTATGGTAATGACTAATGAGTGCCATTTGGACAACCATCGGTGTCAATAGCCGACATAAGGAAATTTTAATCAATTCGGCTTTCATGAGTCATGATGGCACGATAACGTATCCATAATATCTGTCATTATGTAACGTGGGCTAATGATCACAGTCATACAATACAAGGGTTGTTGTGAGGAAAGTTTGGCACTGTCAAATATTCTTGTACGTGCTTGTCAATGTGCATTCGCGATCCCCATTCCTGTCCTCCGAGAAGGGGAACTGCAACAAAGTCCAGCTGAACCTTCTCGGTCCACACCACACCAGGTATCTCCAAATTGCCGGGCCAACGTTTTATCCCCCCACCCCGGGTTATTCGATGACAGTTACATCAATAGCAATTAGAACAAACCCATGACGTCCCCAATTGGTAATTAGATGCCAATCGTCATTAAGCCGTAGATATTTACCATTTAAATTAAGATATAATAAAACTTACATCTCCATAATTATTGAGACTTATACTTGGTCGTCTAATCTGTAAATGAACCGGAAGTTCCCTAAAATAAAACAAGACGAAATTAAGAACTACGGCCTACTCTTATATCGAATTCCTACTGTCAAGGGATCTTTTACGTGCACGCCAATGTGTACACGGGAACGACTAGATAGCTGTCCTTGTCAGGCCTTCTGTCCTGCAGCACTGACAAGGGAGAACCAAGCCGGAAAATCGCCGGAAAATCGGGATGAACTTTCTCGGTCAATGCAGGGATCGAACACCCGACCTCTAGGTTAGTGAGCCTGCGTCTTACCCACTTAGCCACTTATAAAAAAGGCGCATATTATAAAAGCTAATAATAAAATATTGCTATAACATTAACAAGCCCATGCATACTTCTGATTGAGTAAAATAGCCGTTTGTCTGACAAATAAAAGAACACAAGCCATACATGATTGGAGTTTGTATTGATCAGAGTTCAAACTTACACAACAATTTTTAACCTTTTTAATATTATTGACGCAATCATCAAGTCGCCTCTATGATTGTTTATGTTGTCGTGCAACAATATCCTTTGTTCGACTATATAATCAACTGTATATATTTTATATTTTCAAATTAACTAACATAAACGTGTTGGGATGTATATCCAATTCCTGACGATTAAGTTAATAACTGAATTATTGAACAAACCTCCCAGCAGCATCTTCATAACCGAGAGTTTCGTATGTCACAGGCACCCGACATAAGGTTTTAAATTCGTCTGGATGTTCTTGTCTGAATACGTCTACAATATGATGAATGTCAGCGAATACACTGTCTCCACCAACAATTTTATCATCAAATCTATAATATATATATATATATATATATATATCCATATAGCATACAGGTTGAATAACCGCGGTGGCTCAATGAGTAAACGAATACACCAACGATCTTATTATCAAATCTATAATATACTAAGCAGCAAAAGAAACGTCAGGCTGGTATGTTACTCTGAATAGACGCATCAAATCTATAATATACATAACCATATAGTATACAGGGTGGATAACCGAGGTGGGTCAGTGAGTAAAACGAATACACCAACAATCTTATCATCAAATCTATAATATTCAAATCCCTCCTACCTTTACAATGAATCGTTTTAAGGTAAACAATAATTTGTAAGGTAAATCATCTCAACTTTAAACGACATAACATCACTAAGTAGTGTGGAGGCTACTTTCAGGACATAACAACTCTACCCTAAACAACTAATCGTCTCTACCCGACATAACATATCTACCTTAATCAATGAATCGTCTCTACCTGACATGGCAGAGAACATCTACGGCTTGCCCTATAACTTTATTCTTACATTGTGTGTAGTTTGCGTCTTGTCCGCGAGTTGATCAAATCGGTTACGTTTGCGTGTAGTGCGACGCTCCTGTACTTACTATCAAACAATGAAGTAGTTTCTACCTTAAACAGTGAAGCATCTGTATTCCTGGTGGTGATTCATATGTTGGTTGATCCATGTGTAAATTTAAAGCAATGTTTCTATAAGCAGCATTACTGGCCTTGGGTTGGTCTTTAACAGCAAACGTCTATAATAATGGGGTTATAAAAACCATTACATGAATATATGTTTTTTTTTAGGGAGATGGGAATCTATTGCTAAGAGTAAGATTACCAAATCCGAAATAAGACTATTGAAATGGGAATCGACAATGTGTGTGTGTGTGTGTGTGTGTGTGTGGAGGAGGGGGGATTTCTAATTAACATATTATGAAGATTACTTTCCATTTTGTTATGAGTAATGCAATAATAATCCAACTATATTTAACCTAAAATATGTTATCAAGGCCATTTACGAAATTATGATTTCATGTTGTAAACGTTAAAAATAACTTTATGATATTCTATAAATAGGCCTTTATCTTCTTTGATTGGCATTTAGTAATTGAACATGTTAACACAAGGTACAATTTTATGGATACACAGTTACTGTGTTTAATATTAGGCTTGATAAAGAAGAGAGTATCCTCGTCGAAACGTTGCTTAATATTAAACTCAGTAATTGTGTGTCCATAAAATTGTGCCTTGTGTTAAGGCCTTTATCTGTTGAACGAAAAGGTATAATAATCTTACATCTCCATATATGGTATGTTGTGGTAAGGCCACTCGTCTTGCTACCTGAAATAAAAATATAATACTAAAATATAAAATCATATTCCACATACTGCAGTAATGAACACAGGACAGATCTTCATGTAGTGTAGGCCATCGAAAGTATAAAAAAAAGAAACGAAATATAGATCTGTATTTAAATCAGATTGCCATTTAGTACGCATCTCGGACAAAGAATAAAAGCACGGGACGAAGGGGTATTGAGAAAAGGAAAAAAGGCAAACTAGGCTTTAACAGTTGACGCCCAGAAATACCAGCCTACCTTAAGTAATCTCCATATAAGAATGGGGGTTGGATGGCTGAATGGTTAGCGTGCGCGCGCTGTATCATAAAGCCTGTCATTGAGTCGACTGGCGTGGTTTCGAATCCCCGGTTGTACGTGACAAGGAGTAGGGTCACCTGTCCAACTTCGTGGGTTTTCTCCGGGTCCTCCGGTTTCCTCCCACTGCTTAAGACCCCTACGCGCAAGCGAATTATTGTAATAAAATTAAACCATATGTTAGTCCCGAAATGACCCAGTTTGTGTCGAGTGGACGTTAAACCCCATTTCTCTCTCTCTCTCTCTCCCATATAAGAATGTGAAAGATGTAGAAGAATACAAAGACATAAAGAAAACGATATAAGAAAATAATAATAGGATAGAATTTACACGAGAAGAAAACTGGCCTACCTTCAGTAAATGGTCTTCTACCGTTGGAACATTTCTAATCATACATAATCCTCGATCACCCAGAATACTTAACCATCTGAAAATAACAAATGACACATGGATGTTGTAAAAGTTCCACAGTCACAGTTTATTATTCTTGACAGACAGGTTATACTTAATACATCATATACAGGTTATACATCGTATATAACTAGACACACTGGTTATACCTAATACAAGCAGGTTATACCTGATACAAACAGGTTATACCTATTACATGGTACTCAATTTGCGATCTACGGTGGTAGTCTCTGATAGCGTTCATTACAGCAATTGGTTTCATTCTTTTCTTCCTCGAAAACGTATCAGATATATATATCTGAGAGAGAGAGAGAGAGAGAGAGAGAGGGGGGGTCGGGTTTAACGTCCACCTGACACAATCGAAGTCATTTCGGTGGTAACATAATGGTTCAATTTTATTTCAATCAATCGCCTGCGCGTTGGTTTTTTTACGGACCTTTCTCTTTGTCAAGTACGACAGGGGAATCGAAACCACGCCATTTGACTCAGTCACAGACCTTCTGATCGAATGTGCACGTATTAACCATGCGCCCCCAACCCCTCCTTTCTCAGAATATAGCCTAGGAGTCTGATCTGATATAAACTGATTGAAAACACAGATCCTATTTCGTTTCGTTTTTATAGTTCAAAATTTACCTGTGTTCACTACACTAGGATCTGGAAGAATTGTTACCATTGACGTGTTCTGAACGGTGTGAGGGGTTAACCAATGAAGCAGTCTGTTACGGCGAGCTTTGGGCGTGTTTTGCACGGAACTGTGGGTAATCCACTAGTAATATCAATGCTGATTGTTAAATCAAATGTCTGACGTCATAGGGTCGAAAGGCGCTCGTATGACCTCTAAGGCGACCTATCGCTAAAACTAGTCAGATCTTCATGTAGTGTAGACCATCGAAAGTATAAAAAAACGAAACGAAATATTGATCTGTGTTTTAATCAGATTGAATCTGACACATTGCTATACAGACGTGTTTAAGCTCTGCGTCTGTCAAATCAGGGCAGGTGGGTAATTCTGAACTTCTTAAAATACAATGATGAAAGTAAATGGAACAAACTTAAAGGAGCTAAATCGCTAATATTTGGGACCTAGAAACTGACACAAATGGGTAGCAACGCATATAATAATGTAATATAAATGTATATAAACTGGTTTGCATTTAATCGTTTCTGTTGTTACTGTAATTTCTAATCAGTTATGTTCAACGAAATACTCCAGAAGTCTGAATCGAATGGCAATCTCTAGCGTCTGGTTATTCCAGTCTACATCGATAGTATTTATTGCGCATGCTCTCTAGATAAGAACATGGCGTCACCGATTCACATGACTTGTGCAATATGTTTAGCCTCGTTCTTCGAGCCCCTTGTTACAAATGGCGCTGAAACGCATTATGGTACACGATTCGTGTACCAAAGATAAAATGTTTATTTTGTCTTAAATATTGGATATCAGAAGGCAATCTTTTCTCGGTAAGATCACAACATCAATGTTGATTTAAATTGACAAATAATTCGTGTTTTCAATGTCGAAGACTTTAGATGGTATTGAGTTAGAGACTTAGCTACTTTAACGTTTACCCTACAGGATAGAGTTGGAGAGAAGTTTTGTAAATTCGTATCAGCTTTAAATTTGATTACTTGAATTACTTACTGATATAATCCTGTCTGTGTTTCCATCACTTCTTTATAGTCAATTTCAGGAATCTTAGTCTAAAATAAACAAACAACCAAAAACACAGGATTAGTATTTTATTAACAGATGTAGTCTTCAACCAACCCAGCCCCTCCCACTTGTCAAAAAGGATAAAGAACATAGATGTTTATACATAGACCAAGAAATAAAAAAACATTACATGATATTCTGGTAAAAAAAAAATATATTGAAAGGGAAACGGAAATGGGCAGAGATTTTATTTTTTATTATTTTTTTTTTAATTATTATTATTTGGTGGGTTATTTTAAGTTTGGCTGTTTCTATGGTTACAGAAAATAGTTCTAGTTGATAATATAATGTTAAACCAACAAAATCATTAACCTCTCGAAGCTGACCTTCACTCTAATTCTTGACAAGGTCAAAGGTCAAAGTTCGAAATACGACAAACTGAAAGTCAGAAAATGAAATCAAAGCTGCTGAAATAAAAACATACAATGAAAACAAACAAAAATGAAGTTAAAAAAAATATCTTTGATAAATGATGAAATACAGGCAAAACATTAGGAAGATATTTTCAGTATTTATTAAACTAGTTTATGTGCGATTAAAGATACATTAGTTAAGATTTTAATAAAGAGTTGGCCATTCTTGATATACAAGTTCGAAATCTCATTCAGATTACTTATTCGAAATGAAGTTATCACTGTGGAAGTTTGGACTAGAAATAGACATAAACTGTCTTCGCACCGTTTCAGATAATTTGATTGACAGACGATAAGTCCGCTCACATATTCCCAAGTATCAAGTAACATTCTCAATGCCTACGTTACCCTCGATTTCATCGGCAGTTTCCGGGAGTTACGTCAGTGATTAACGACAAATGTTAGCTTGGTGAGCCATTTAATGATTTAATTATTAAATGGGCGACTGTTTAACTCCAAGCTGTATACAAGCCACCCGAGGGTCTACAGAGTTAATTTTGGCTTGTTATGTAAATAAAGGTCTAATTTATAATTTTTATAACATTTAAAGCCTATAGAAATACTTGCACTGGGCGGATTTAGCTCTTAACTAATGTATCTTTATGTGTGATTGTTCAGATCCGATGGTTTTCCTATATGACTGCCATTTGTCATCAAGGTTGTTTTTATACATAAAGCGATAACACATCTTTAACTAATTAACTGAATGGCAAATGATAATATATCTTTAACCTAATTAACTAGGTTGTAAATATTAATGCTTCTTAAACTGGATGGAACTGTAATATTTAAAATATGTTTGTCCCCCTAATTTAACTTCACACAATCAAGCTACCCTACCCAACCACCAAACCATGCTACCCCACCCAACCACGCTACCCTACCCAGTCACCCAACCACGCTACCCTACCCAGTCACCCAACCACGCTACTCCACCCAACCACGAAACCACGCTATGCCACCCAATCACGCTATGCCATCCAACCAAGTTACCCCACCCATTCACCTAAACACGATACCCTACCCAACCTCCCAATCACGCAATGATGAAACTCCACCCAATCACGCTACCACTCTACTCTACCCTACCCAACCACCCATCTACTACACCCTACCCAACCACCCATCTACTACACCCTACCCAACCACCCAATCACGCAACGCCACCCAACCACCCAACCCCACCCAACCACGATACTCCACCTAACCACTCAACCACGCTACTCCGCCCAGCCACGCTACCCCGCCCAACTACGCCACCAACATCCCCCGTCTTCATTAGCCCAGTTCGGAGCAGAACAGTAGGACGTTAAACCCCATTTCATTTCATTTCATTTCCACCAACATCTACTCCAGTAACAAAGACGTCCAAAAAAAAGAGGAATGGTAGGTTCGGTCTAACCATACTCTGAAAGTGGGGTATAATCGCTGTGAAAACAAATCGCTAGCTTCTTTCAATTTTTTTTAATTTAATCATTTTTTCGTTAAATTATTCAAATTATATTATATCATCAACTTACATCTGTAGTAAAAGTCATTCGAGCGGCGTTACTTTTTCGTTCTATTTCTCCATCCGAATAACAATATGTCTTTAGATAGGACGAAGGGAGATAACCCTGGTGTGTTTTATCTCCTTCCTTCCAGATCACCTTTAATACATTTTCCTCTGAAAGAATATAATATCACAATAAAATAATAATACAGAATAGTAATTAAAAAAATAATCCACAAATCCTGAGTACTCATTCTGAACATAATGTCGAATTGTGTGATATGTACAGTTGTGGGGGGGGGGGGGGAGGGGGGGGTCGAATGGTTAACGCGTGTGAGTTTGATCACAAGGTCTGTCATTAAGTCAAACGGCGTGATTTCCAATCACTACTAGTACGTGACAAGGAGAAAGGTCGCCTGTCAAACTTCGTGGGGTTTTTCCTGTTTCCGCCCACCGTCAAAGACCCCTACGTGCTAGCGAATTATTGAAATAAAAAAATGAACCATATGTAAGTCAAAAAATGACCTTTTTTGTGTCGATTAGATGTTACCCTCTCTCTCTCTCTCTCTCTCTCTCTCTCTCTGTTATTACTGTGCGTTGTATAGCAAATTGTTGGGAAATCGAAATTGCGGGGTTTTATTTGAAGTGTTGATAATTATATTCGTTGAAATCGTAAAATAGCCGGAAAAGCACATATTAAAGGAGCTTAATCCCTATTCCTTGGCACCGAGAAATGGACACAAACTGGTCGCAACGGACATAATGTAATATCAATGTATATAAACTGATTAACATTCATGCTTTTCTCTTTTAACTGAAATTTCTAATCAGTTATGTTTGGCGAAATACTCAAAGAGTCTAAATTGAATGGCGTCTTTGGCGTCTGGTTATTCCAGTCTACACCGGTAGTATTCACTTGTGGGGTATGTTAAGTCTTATTCACCGAGTCGCTTCATTACAAATGGCGCTCGAAAGCATTCTGACACGCCAATTTTAAAATGTTCATTTTGTCTTAAATATTGGGTATTAGAGACCCATCTTTTCATGGTAAGATAACAACATCAATGTTGATTTAAACTGACCAGTAAGGTTTGTTTACAATGTCGACGACTGTGGACGATATTGAGTTTAAGACTTTCATCCTTTAATAAATATAAACTGTAATGATATTTACAATCAATATTTAATACTTTTAATTATGTTCTGTGAATTCCATGAACAGTCCCAATGTTACATGTTTTTTGGTTTTTTTTGCGTCAGCCATTTGGGAGCCACGGTGGCTAAGGGCTAAGTAGGTAAGGCAGTGGCTCGCGTGTTCGATCCCTGCATTGGCCGAGAACGTTCATCAGGATTTTCAGACATGGTGTCCTCTTGTCAGTGGTGCAGGACGGGGGCCTCACATGGACAGCTGTCTAGTCGTTCGGATGGTACGAAAATCCGAGGTCCCTTGTATACATTGGCATGCACGTAAACGATCCCTTGGCGGAGACAACCGATCTGTTAGATCTTGTAATTGGTGGCAATATTTAAATTAGATAAAGGGAGACAACTAACCTGTCAGATCTTGTAATTGGTGGCAATATTTAAATTAGATAAAGGGAGACAACTGATCTGTTTCTCGGTGGTAATATTTAAATTAGATAAAGGGAGACAACTGACCTGTTCCTCGGTGGTAATATTTAAATTAGATAAAGGGAGACAACTAACCTGTTAGATCTATATCTGTTATATATAAATCATCTAATGGTATTTCAGTCAGTGCTACAGTTGGTTGACCAGATACATCTATCTTACAAGATGGACAATGACAAGTATGTCGTAACCAAATACTGTGAAATCTAAACAAAATAGAAAACATAATTCTATTTTTCAATCAACAATATATTTATATCTTCAAACGTCACTTATGTGATGGCAGGTGCTAAATTTTAATCTGTACACTTACTATTAATAAATAAAATGAAATGGGGTTTAACGTTCTGACTTGGCAAATGATGACCGGTATAAGCCATGCAATGTGCTATGCGGCAAACTTTTCCCGGACAGCGGCGCTACAGCCTACTCTTATATCCAATTCCAGCTGCCAAGGGATCTTTTACGTGCAAGCCAAGGTGTACACGGGATCTCGGTTTTTCGTCCCAACCGAACGACTAGACAGCGCCATTGTCAGACCCTAAGTCCTACATCACTGACAAGGGGACACCACTGCGGAAAATCCTTTATTAATACGTCCATCGGTCCTCGGCATATTGTTGTCCATCGTGTACATCTTGTAGACTCCAAACCAGCTGATTTGGCAAGTGTAATTTTTGTTTCAAGTTATTAATGCATTGCAGATAGTCATGGACTGACACTTGTGAAGAATAATGACGGTGGCAGGAATCACAAAACTTACTTTGAGTGTTTTCCGTCCTTCCAGATAATTTCCACCATTCTACCGTCATTTATTTTATTAACTTGTTGTATCCTGTCGTCACCAGCTACTTTAAACTGTAATAACATGTATTATATTTGCAAGAGTACTGGATATTTATTTTAGAAAGGTGATAGAACAACATACGGGCAGTGGCGGCATTTGCCCCCCCCCCCCCCAATTAATCTGGTCTGCCCTCTGTTTGCCCCCCCCCCCCCATAATTTTAGAAAAATAAAAAAAAGTATTTGTGATACGTTTCGGTAATCAATACCCTACGGTGATTAAATCCCACATCCCAACTCAGTCATAGACTTGCATGTTGTACAGCCTGCTGAGTGATTTCTTAGAAGCCCACCCTGATGTAAAGCTACTATAATCAATAACATGTGAATCACTTGAAAAGTGCTTTTTATCCTCCTCAAAGTTTTTGGGTATAGGTTCAACGCGGCGAGAATATGCATTCACTAGAAACACCCACTCCGTTCGTTTGACACCTCCCTCTCTGTTTGGATAAGCTGGTGATTTGGCGACGAACAGCATCTGGTCAGCTCTATTTATCTCGACGACCAGTATCTGAAATACTGCCAGACTGCATTTCCGACAGTCTATTTCTCAAAATATTGTGGCGAAAATATTCATTCACTTTCACTCACTCCGTACGTTTGTCACTTTCCTCTCTGGTCGGATAAACCAGTGATTTGGCGACAGGCGGTATCTGGTAAGCTCTATTTATCTCGACGACCAGTGCCTGAAATACTGCCAGATACTGCACTTCGGGCAGTCTACTTTTCAAATTTTCGGGGGCTTCGTTGAGGTTCGCAAGTCCGTTCATTTGACACTTTCCTCTCTGGGGTCGGATAGACTAGTGATCAGGCGACAGACGGTATCTGATCAGCTCTATTTATCTCGACGATCGGTGACTTACTGAATACTGTCAGACAGCATTTCCGGCAGTCTATTTTTCAAAATTTTCTGGGGGAGGTCCTCCGTAAGGACTCGGTACTTTGGCGCTCGTGAGTGGGTTTCGTCGAGGTTCGCAAGTCCGTTCGTTTGACATTTTATCTCAACGATCAGTGTCTGAAATACTGCCAGGCTGCATTTACGACAGCCTGTTTTTTCCAAAATTTCTGTGGGAGGCTCCCTACCCCTAGTGCCTTTGCCCCCTTAACCTTGGACTTTGCCCCAGCTTTGCCCCTCTAACCACGGGCGGCTGGCGCCGCCACTGCACACGGGGTGTGGGAACAACGAACTTGATATATTTCACCTTAGTGTAGCCGAAAAGAACAGACAAGTTTTCTAATGATTTAACCCACCTGAGCAGGAAACAGGACTTGTCTATCTACCATTTCTTGATGAATCGAGATCGGGTTTTCTGGTTTAGAAGCAGCCATTTGAGACATACTTGCAGATCCTGCTAACTTGGTAATCTTCTCTCCTGCTAATAAACAAATCGATCATCAATATACAAAGATACCGAATTGATTTAATTATCACAGATAACTGATTGGCTACCTACTTCAAGATGGAATTTGGATGTTACTAGCCCATTTTATTTATCAACCGTATTCAATTGAATCAGTTTTATCAGGTAACTTCTGGTTTATTGGTTAAAGCCTAGGATCACATCTTACTTTAAAAACATAAACTTTTGTAGTTTGTATATCAAATTGCTTATCGACATACTTAGCCTAAGCAAATAATATCCACCGTCGCACTTAGTCACGACACAGGTCACGTGTTCGATCCCTGCATTAGCTGAGAAAGTTTATCGGGAATTTCCGACGTGGTTTCCACTTGTCAGTGGTGCCGGGCGGGTGGCCATACAGGGATAGCTGTCTAGTCGTTTGGATGGAACGTAAAACCGAGGTCCCGTGTATACATTGGCGTGCACGTAAAATGTCCCTTGGCATTTGAACGCTTACTGCTAGCCCTTGGGTTGGGGATCACGTGGCTAAGTGGGTAAGACGCTGGCTCGCTAACCTGAAGGTCGGGTGTTCGATCCCTGCATTGGCCGAGAATGTTCATCCAGTTTTTCCGGCGTGGTTTCCCCTTGTCAGTGATGCAGGACGGAGGGCCTGACAAGGACAGCTGTCTAGTCCTTCGGATGGGACGAAAAACTGAGGACCCGTGTACATATTGGCGTGCACGTAAAATATCCCTTGGCAGTTGGAATTCGATATAAGAGTAGGCCGTAGCGCCGCTGCCCGGGCAAAATTAGCCCAATTTTGGAGCAGAACAGTAGGACGTTAAACCCCATTTCATTTCATTTCATTTCAGCTCTTGGGTTAATATGTTAGTCCCGAAATGACCTAGTTTGTGTCGAGTGGACGTTAAACCCCATTTCTCTCTCTCTAGCTCTTGGGTTAGGGTTAGGGTTTACATCTCGTGACCTTGATACAACAATCTACAGGTGACAAGGAGTAGGGTCGCCTGTCCAACCTCGTGGGTTTTCTCCGGGTCCTCCGGTTTCCTTCCAATGCTAAAGACCCCTACGCGCAAGCGAATTATTGAAATAAAAATTGAACCATGTGTTAGTCCCGAAGTGACCTAGTTTGTGTTGAGTGGACGTTAAACCCCATTTCTCTCTCTCTCTCTCTCTCTCTCTCTCTCTCTATATATATATATATATATATATATATATATATATATATATATATACATATATATATATATATATATATATATATTGTGTGCCCTAAACGCAGGATTGTTTGTGTGTAGTGCGGTCCTCGTACACCTACTATTAACCATTTATTCTCGTGGCAATCTCATAATCGGTGGCTGAGATACTGAATGAATTAGACAATGTCTAGCATATATTCGTCACACGTTAAAATGGAAAATCGAGACTTCGTTTGTTATCACAGCAATGTTAATCGAGACTTCGTTTTTTATCACAGCAATGTTAACTGACAATCGAGACTAGTGACGCTATTTATTGCCTAAACTTCAAACATGCATAACTTCGCTAATAATAAAGAAATTTGACTGATTTTTTCAATATATTCATTTTTCATTATCTCTTTTGAAACTATTATAGCACGAACGATCAGTTCTGTATCTAAATCTTATATAATGCATCTTAACAGAATATTTGAGAAAAACAAAATATTGGAAAATAATTCTCTAAAGCCCTGCATTTGCCGAAAAAGTTCACCCAGATTTTCTGGCGTGGTTCCCCCTTGTCAGTGATGCAGGACGGGGCATGACAAGGACAGCTGTCTAGTCATTCGGATGAGACGAAAATCCGAGGTCTCGTGTACACATTGGCGTGCACGTAAAAAATCCCTTGACAGTTGGAATTCAATATAAGAGTAGGCCGTAATGCCGCTGTCCGGGCAAAATTTCCCTCATAGCACACTTCATTAGTCCAGTTCGGAGAAAAACAGTAGGACGTTAAACCCCAATTTATTTCATTTCACTATAAAACCAAATTTGAGAATAAAATGTGACAAAAAACTGTACGGGCGGAGGGCGACGCGACGGGTTCGATGTACTAACTACTATTGGAATTACTCCAATAATAATAGGTGTATACTCATTTCAGAACGGGGAGGTTGGATTACCGCGTTCTCGTTGTATCATAAGGTCTGTCATTGAGTCAACTGGCGTGGTTTAGATTCTCCGGTTGTATGTGACAAGGAGCAGGGTCGCCTGTCCAACCTCGTGGGTTTCCTCCCACTGCCACAGACCCCTACGCGCAAGCGAATTATTGAAAAAAAAATTGAATATAAATGTTAGTCCCGAAATGACCAAGTTTGTGTCTAGTGGACGTTAAGCCCCATTTCTCTCTCCCTTCCCTTTCATAACGACAGAGTGTACTCTATCTAGAGTACACTGTTACTCAATGATCTATACATAGCTTATCAATATGTAGGTTAAAATATCCTTATAAAGGTCGGCCAACTGATAATTTTTTGCCGATTTTAAACCAAATCATCAAGTATGTCGCATACGCTCAAAATAATCACAAGGTTTGCCGTTGAGTCAACTGGCGTGGTTTCGATTCCCCGGTTGTACGTAACAAGGAGTAGGGTCGCTTGTCCTGGCTCTCGGGTTTTTTCCGGGGCATGCGGTGTCCTCGCACTGCCAAAGACTCCTACGTACAAGCGAATAATTGAAATAAAAATTGAACCATACGTTTGTCCCGAAATGACCTAGATTTCAAAAATAAAAGGTATGCCAAGAAAATTTGATTTTAACACTGGTTTCTTAACGTCCACTCGACACAAGCTAGGTCATTTCGGGACTAACATATGGTTCAATTTTATTTCAATAATTCGCTTGCGCGTAGGGGTCTTTAGCAGTGGGAGGAAACCGGAGGACCCGGGGAAAACCCACGACGTTGGACAGACGACATTATTCCTTGTCGCGTACAATTGGCTATAGTAGTTACATACTGATAGTATATATGTAACAAACTCGGGGCATGAATACGTGTTAATATATTGTATCGGGGTATAATTTAGGAAAACTAAACGGAAAATAATCTCAAGATAGATTCAGACAATTAATGGACCATTGGCTATTCAGTCGAGGTAATCTGGTTTTTAATAAATTGTTTTTTTGTTAGGTCATCAACTTTCATTTTATAAACCGGAAAATTTTAAATTTTATAGTAGGTGTGTATATTAAAAAAAATAAGGGCCAACTTTCAATATTACAATATTGCGTAATCTATCCCTTAGATGTGTACCTCTTTCTCAGATGTAATACCGTTGACAACCGATGTAATATCTTTTGTCGACATTCATGTTTTTTTTGTGTATCAGAATCCATTTAGTAAAAGTAAAATTTGAACAACAAAAACGATATTATATTTGCTGTACGACATTATATGAAGTTCGTGACATTTATATACCTAACAGCCGGTCCTTATGCTCGATGAATTGAACGTTGCTTTACTTAACGTACATTATGCTAGAGCTAGATCTGCTTAGTGCAGGTCTTTATTTAGGCCTGAATGTGATCAAATTTATTAATTAGACACTAATTAACTTATCCAGATCATCAACGCTCGATGTCATCGCAAGCCTGTGATATTGAGCGGATTGGACTACATTTTTTTGAAAAATAATTAAACGTAAAAATGGATAATAGAGACTTTGTTTTTTTTTTATCGTACCGACGTTATAAATGATGATCGAGGTTAGGCCTAAAATTCAATAGGTAAAATCTCGGTTCATTGTGAAGCGATTTGACTGAAATTTTCAGCATATTCTATTTACGTTATCTATTGTTTTAACTATTATAGCGAGAACTGTCAATCCTTTATCTAATCTCCCATAATGTCCCTTTAAGGGCCGTATAGCTCTATTGTTTGGAACCTTAAAATAGACTAAAATGGGACCCAAACGCACATATTAATGTCAAAGGCGTGTATATAACGTGTACTATGAGTGTATATAAAGTGTATATAAAGTGTATATATGTGTATATACAGTGTATATTACACTTTATATACAGTGTATATTACACTTTATATACAGTGTATATTACACTTTATATACAGTGTATATACAGTGTATATACAGTGTATATAAAGTGTAATATAAAGTGTAATATGGGTGTATATAAAGTGTAATATAAAGTGTAATATGAGTGTATATAAAGTGTATATAGGGTGTAATATGGGTGTATATAAAGTGTAATATGAGTGTATATACAGTGTATATAAAGTGTATATAAAGTGTTATATGAGTGTATATAAAGTGTATATAAAGTGTTATATGGGTGTATATAAAGTGTTATATGAGTGTATATAAAGTGTATATAAAGTGTAATATGGGTGTATATAAAGTGTAATATGAGTGTATATACAGTGTATATAAAGTGTTATATGAGTGTATATAAAGTGTATATAAAGTGTAATATGGGTGTATATAAAGTGTAATATGAGTGTATATACAGTGTATATAAAGTGTTATATGAGTGTATATAAAGTGTAATATGGGTGTATATAAAGTGTATATAATGTGTAATATGAGTGTATATAAAGTGTATATAAAGTGTATATAGAGTGTAATATGGGTGTATATAAAGTGTAATATAAAGTGTAATATATGTTTCTATAAAGTGTATATAGAGTGTAATATGGGTGTATATAAAGTGTAATATGAGTGTATATACAGTGTATATAAAGACGATATTATATTTGCTGTACGACATTATATGAAGTTCGTGACATTTATATACCTAACAGCCGGTCCTTATGCTCGATGAATTGAATGTTGCTTTACTTAACGTACATTATGCTAGAGCTAGATCTGCTTAGTGCAGGTCTTTATTTAGGCCTGAATGTGATCAAATTTATTAATTAGACATTAATTAACGTATCCAGATCATCAACGCTCGATGTCATCGCAAGCCTGTGATATTGAGCGGATTTGAATACATTTTTTTTTTTAAATAATTAAACGTAAAAATGGATAATCGAGACTTTTTTTTTTATCGTACCGACGTTATAAATGATGATCGAGGTTAGGCCTAAAATTAATAGGTAAAATCTCGGTTCATTGTGAAGCGATTTGACTGAAATTTTCAGCATATTCTATTTACGTTATCTATTGTTTTAACTATTATAGCGAGAACTGTCAATCCTTTATCTAATCTCCCATAATGTCCCTTTAAGGGCCGTATAGCTCTATTGTTTGGAACCTTAAAATAGACTAAAATGGGACCCAAACGCACATATTAATGTCAAAGGCGTGTATATAACGTGTACTATGAGTGTATATAAAGTGTATATAAAGTGTATATAAAGTGTAATATATGTGTATATACAGTGTATATTACACTGTATATACAGTGTATATACAGTGTATATAAAGTGTAATATAAAGTGTAATATGGGTGTATATAAAGTGTAATATAAAGTGTAATATGAGTGTATATAAAGTGTATATAGGGTGTAATATGGGTGTATATAAAGTGTAATATGAGTGTACATACAGTGTATATAAAGTGTAATATAAAGTGTAATATGGGTGTATATAAAGTGTAATATAAAGTGTTATATGAGAGTATATTAAGTGTATATAAAGTGTAATATGGGTGTATATAAAGTGTATATAAAGTGTTATATGAGTGTATATAAAGTGTATATAAAGTGTAATATGGGTGTATATACAGTGTATATAAAGTGTATATAAAGTGTTATATGGGTGTATATAAAGTGTATATAATGTGTAATATGAGTGTATATAAAGTGTATATAGAGTGTAATATGGGTGTATATAAAGTGTAATATGAGTGTATATACAGTGTATATAAAGTGTTATATGAGTGTATATAAAGTGTAATATGGGTGTATATAAAGTGTAATATAAAGTGTAATATGTGTGTATATAAATTGTATATAGGGTTTAATATGGGTGTATATAACGTGTAATATGAGTGTATATACAGTGTATATAAAGTGTTATACAGTGTATATATAGTGTATATAAAGTGTAATATGGGTGTATATAAAGTGTATATAATGTGTAATATGGGTGTATATAAATTGTAATATGAATGTATATAAAGTGATGGACATTCAATTTTTTTATTATAAATTCTAATCTATATTGTTGAGCGTAATACGTCAAAAATGAACAGCAGTCGTTTACCCATGATAAATCCGCTCTACCCTTTGTTTGTTATGATTTTATTGTTTGTGAATCAGACGTGGGAGGACACCATAGGACACGGAGAAAACCCGCAAGGTTGGACGGGCGACCCTACTCCTTGTCACGTACAACCGGGGGATCAAGGTTGGACGGGCGACTAAATGACAGATTTTATGATAAAACACGCACGCGCTAACCAACCGGTCACCCCCCCCCCCCCCACATATAAAACAACTGCACTTCAATATACTCTGGATAAGTGACCTTGCGATACAGTGCACACCCGCTAACCATTCGGGCCATCCGCACCCCTTGCGGTATATAACATACAATCATATTAATAGTGAAAGCTAAATATATCACCTGCTCTTGTTCGATATGTTGAATGTTTCTGCTGTCTGCTGGTCATAAAAATACATCTTTGATTGGGTTGGTGGAATTTTAGAATTAAACGATGAATTATTCTTGTGGACATTTTGATTCTTGTAACACGCAGATCTTGCAAACAAAATTCCAAATTCTGATTTTTGATCAAAGACAATTACACTATCTATGAGTGCACTTGTAACAATTTCAAATGATTAATACGCGACTTTCCGTCGAGACAAAATACACTGTGCACAAAGATAGTGGTATCTATTCACGTTCCTTGACTTGAAGTGCCTGCATGACTGTTGCATGTCAGTATATGTATTCAACTAATACGTCACTTTATCCGACATATTATTATGTCAGTGACTGATAATTGATACACACCCGATATGATAATTGATACAAATACACAGTATTCACCCCAGTGATCACAACTTTCTAACAATTAAAGAAACATGTTTTAAAGATCAACAAACTCATTTTAAAATGAATTCAAAGTAGTCGTTTTCAAGTTCTATTTTTATCTAAGACTATACATCTTATTTATATACCTTAAACGTAATGTCGCCTGTCCAACCTCGTGGGTTTTCTCCGGGTCCTCCGGTTTCCTCCCACTGCTAAAGACCACTGCGAATTATTGAAATGAAATTAAACCATATGTTAGTCCCGAAATGACCTAGTTTGTGTCGAGTGGACGTTAAACCCCATTTAATTCTCTCTCTCTCTCTCTCTCTCTCTCTCTCTCTCTCTCTCTCTCTCTATCTCTCTCTTACCTTAAACGTAATTTGTTCATGGCCGGTATATCTTTTGATAGATTATTTTAAAATTCAAACAATTAAAAATGATTTGATACTCTATTTGGAATTGTAAGTATACGAACATAAATAATTTCATTAAATATTGCGGTAAATATTTTCAAGATGGCGATGAATAAATAATATCGTCCATTATATATAAAGCATTGCACGTTTTGTTGCATTCCAAATGTCGTTGTTTTTTTCGGTTTTATTCGATTTTCAAATCGGTAAAAAGAACTAACCCAAATCAATTTGTTTAAAGGAGCTAAATCGCTAATATTTGGGGCCTAGAAATTGACACAAATCGGTCGTAACGCATATAATAATGTAATATGATTGTATATAAACTGATTGACATTCAATCATTTCTGTTTTACTGTAATTTCTAATCAGTTCTGTTCGGCGAAATGTCAATCTCTAGCGTCTGGTTTTTCCAGTCTATACCGATAGTATTTATTGCGCATGCTCTCCAGAATAGAATACGAGGTCACCGTTTGACATGACTTGTGGGATACGTCTAGCCTCTTTCTTCGAGTCCCCTGTTTTAAATGGCGCTGAAACGCATTATGGTACACGATTCGTGTACCCATTGTGAAATATTTATTTGTTCATAAATATTTAATATCATAAGCCTATCTTTTCCCGCTAAGATCACAACATTAATGTTGATTTAAAGTAGCTAAGCCTCTAACTTATTATCATCCAAAGTCTTACACGTTTAAAATACGAATTATTTGTCAATTCAAATCAACATTGATGTTGTGATCTTACCAGGAAAAGACAGGCTTCTGACATCCAATATTTAAGACAAAATAAACATTTTACCATTGGTACACGAATCGTGTACCATAGTGCGTTTTAGCGTCATTTGCAACAAGTGACCAGAAAGAACGAGGCTAGACATATTTAACTAGAGAACCTGCTCAATAGACTGGAATAACCAGACGCTAGAAATTGCTATAGGGTTGAGACACAGGCCGTATTTCGCTGGACATAACTGATTTGAGATTAAGAGTCAATTTCTAGGTCCCAAATATTCGCGATTTAGCTCCTTTAAATTGACAAATAATTTGTGTTTTCAATGTCGAACACTTTGGATGATATTGAGATAGAGACTTGGCTACTTTAAGATCTTATATCAAGCTATAAGTATAATGCATATAACATGTGCTACAGGTACATAATATACGTTCATATACAAACGATTAGAACGAGAACTGCGCAATTCTAATGATAGTTCGATAACTGAATGTTTTACTAGGTCGAGGCGATCTGAATGACCTAAATGCAGACTCAGTCTCGTTAATTCATTTATGTGCATACATAATAGCAGTGCGTTATTGGCGGCGAGATGAAGTAGCGAATCTAGGGCGGGGGGAGTGGCGGTTTCAAATCTAGGGCACCATCCACAATCAAACCCACAATGAATGTCAATAAAATACTTGCTATAACACCGGCTGGGTGCCCCGGTAGAACATTGTTCGCCAAACGAGATCTCTTCGAAAAGGTTTTTTATCAAGTTGGCAAAATGAGTCTGAATGCGTGAAGTTTAATATTGAGCTACAGCGAAAACAGGTGAACTATAAATTAATCAGTTAGCTGAAAATCCGGACCGTGTCATTGTGTACTACTTATCAATTGTCATAGATTAACGATTCGTTGATTGTTAATTGCCAAGATATATAGGGGGTTTATTCCCACGAAGGCGCAGTTATGGACCGTCACGGATTAAACAAGGTCGTTTTCGACGACTTCGTGGGAATCCAGCTCCTAGGGATTAAAATGGATTAAAAACGTAACAATGGTGTTATAGATTGTTATGATAAGAATGTACACTTTCATAATCCCCAATGTAACTAATTAATTAACCAACATTTTAGCATCATTTTTGGCATAAGAAATAAAAACATAACTACACTATAACAAAAATTAATTTTAATTTCGCCAAATAAGACACTAAAGTCAATTCCTCTTCCTCGTGTCTTCCATTTAATTCCTGGAGTTGGCTTTGGATTTGAGCATATTTATATCTCTTCCTTGGTGGTTCCTGTCCTCCAGCATACTGAACGATTCTAATCTCATTAATATTTTGTTCTTGTTGTAAAAATGTGATCATTTCAAAAACATTAGGATGGGCTTTTCCAAGTAGCTTCTTGATTCTTGCATGCCATCCTTCCAAAGTCTTGTTGGTCTGTGCTCCTTTGTGTCGTAGTAGTCCCACTGATGAGTTGCAAATTAACCCTCGAGAGGTCGAAGGCCAATTGTACAGCAAGACATAATATAATACACCTACCCTTTCTACTGGTACCAACGGTAGAGCTGCAAACCTCCGTACCACCTTCTGTATTTCTTCATATTCTCTATATTGCACTTGTAGACCTACATTCTGTGTTCTTCTCCAAATTAAGATTCATATTGAATACCTGGATGATATGATGATTTTTATCATTAGTTGCCAATTGGTGAATAAAACTCAGAGTGAACATAAATTCATAAAATCTTTAACACCGTTAATTAGGTCCTAATAGCAACATGCATCTCTTCGAACGAAAGCCGACAAGTCGATATCTGCGCCTTCGTGGGAAGGATTAATTTTTGTCACGCTCTGTAACTGCGCCTTCGCGGGAATACACCATATAGGGGGGGGGGGGCTGAATGGTTAGTACGTGCGCGCTGTCATTGAGTCAACTGGCGTGGTTTCGATTCCCCGGCTGTACGTGACAAGGAGTAGGGTCGCCTGTCTAACCTCGTGGGTTTTATCCGGGTCCTCCGGTTTCCTCCCATTGCTAAAGACCCCTACGCGCAACCGAATTATTGAACTAAAATTGAACCATATGTTATTCCCGAAATGACCTAGTTAGTGTCGAGTGAACGTTAAACCCCATTGCTCTCTCTCTCTCTCTCCAATAATATACTCTTCAAAAAAAGTAGGGGATATTCAGAAACAATACAAAACTGCGGAAATGCACTGCTGTTTTTATTAGAGGTAACCAGTTTATGTTAATAACAGGTCAATTGCCTACACATGAACATAAACAGTTCATATGGGTGGCTTATCTGACGGCCCCATTTCACTCGCAAAGAGATACACTGTCAAAAGTGAAAATGGACGTGTTTTATTTTTGTCTTAATAATGAGTAATTGCTCCACCAATCCTCAGACATTCAGCAATTCGTCGTGGCATGCTCCTAATCAACCGTCCAATCACGATTTGGGTCAATCTGACCCACAAGCCTTGCAGTGCCCCGGCCAATTCTTGCAGTGTTGTCGGTTTACGTTGACGTCGACGAACACGTCTTCCGATCAAATTAAACGTAACACACTAAAGCCAAGATACGCTAAACAGTAAATCTTAGGCATGAACCGATAGGAAAGCAAACATGGATAGGATAAACCAGCACGCGGCAGTTTTCATCAACCCTTCCTTGAAGTCAAATTTGACCAGGAACCCCTCCCACGTGTATAGCGCTATTGCGTGTCGCACATGCAGCTCAGTGGTTCTATTGGGGCGATACGTTCTTCATCTGTGAACATACTCTCAAAGCATGTCAAGTGTCCATGACTTTTTATCATATCACAACCTGCATACTAGGTTTTGCATTTCAATATGCCCAACATTTCAATATGCCCTACATTTCAATATGCCCTACTTTTTTGAATGAAGAGTATATATATGAAGCCTTTCCTGGCTCAGTATTAAATCTGGATAATTAATCCAAGCGGTGTTTATTGGGTATTTCGTTTCGTCTTTAAGAAAATCACATTATGATAGTTGAATTCCGTTTACTGTGGCGTTATATGTGTAGCACTTTGGCCCTTGAGACAATTGTGGGTCTTTATAAAATTGTCTCTTCAATTTTGTCTATAAAGTCAAAACACACGCACTGAATGAACGTGGATATAGTTATACATAAAAAACAGTGATATTTTGGTAAAATTATAATCATTGTCAAAATAGTCATCAAATTCTGGCGGTTTATTGACCTATGGTTGATAGACCAAAAATAGGTAATGTTTTCTATCTTATTTGTGGGAAATAAAGAGTTTTATTCCTTATATGGCGTGGAAATTAACGTCAAGGTTATCGAAGACCTGCAGAAATTAGGGGGTATAAATTAGGGTGTAGAGGCGAGCTGGATTAGAGCTCACCTAGAAATTCCTACCAGCCATTATCATTGAGAACGAGGAACCTGCAAAACCAGTACAACTTAGAAATAAAGTTGTGAAATTATTTTATGCTGTAGTCTTATTAAGATCACCAGAAAGGAAACACAACAATAAGAAGTCCTATAGTATTACATATGGCATGTAAAATATGCATGGGTATTATTGTTTCAAATAACAACATAACAAACGACCTATTATTCATTTTAACTTCGTCACACGATAAATTACAATAAGGACAGGACACACCTATAGCTATGGTGGCTTCTATTATGATCAAGGCTAACATAACAAAAAATATCAAATTAACTCATTGAAATTCGGCGTGAATAATTAGA